ATAACGGACAAATTTTTACAGTGCCGCAAGAATCATCCCAAAGTGACCTCGCCACCGTCAGTGCTCTTAACCACTCTCATCTACAGGCTTCAAAAGTGTTCGATTCGGCGATCGCAGACGGACTGTCACCATCTGAACGATCTGAACTCCTCCAACTGCTGTACCAGTACCGCGAATCTTTCGATGTTGTTCAACCTTCACTTGGCCGCACTTCTACCACTCTACATTACATCGATACCGGCTCCCATGCGCCACTACGACAGCGACCATATCGTGTTTCTGTGACGGAACGCCAAGTTATAACCGAACAGGTGAACGATATGCTGCAACGTGGCGTCATTCAACCTTCACAAAGTCCATGGGCATCACCTGTAGTGCTCGTTAAAAAAAGATGGTTCCGTTCGCTTCTGCGTGGATTACCGGCGCCTAAATAAGATCACTCGAAAAGACGTGTATCCTTTACCCAGGATTGACGATGCCCTTGATACTTTACAAGGTGCCGAGTTTTTTTCATCATTAGATTTGCGCTCAGGGTACTGGCAGGTCCCCCTTGCCGATGCCGATCGACCAAAAACAGCCTTCGTGACACCGGACGGTCTGTATGAGTTTAATGTCATGCCCTTCGGCCTCTGCAATGCGCCTGCCACCTTCGAGCGCATGATGGACACGGTTCTTCGGGGTTTGAAATGGCAAATCTGTCTCTGCTACCTCGACGATATAGTCGTCTTTGCGCCAGACTTTGGAACACATCTCGAGCGCCTCAAACACGTCCTCATGTGCCTGAAGAATGCTCAGCTCCAACTCAACCTCAAGAAGTGTCACTTCGCTGCTCGCCAACTTACGATTCTCGGGCACGTCGTATCAAGGACGGTATACTTCCAGACCCGGCTAAGTTACGTGCTGTCGCCGACTTCCCCAAACCAACGACTATGAAGCAGTTACGGAGCTTCGTGGGGTTATGCTCCTACTTTCGCCGGTTCGTGCGCAACTTCGCCTCTATCATTGCGCCTTTGACCGAACTTATAGGCAGCACCACTGATATTTCGGCATGGTCTTCTGAGTGTGACCAAGCCTTCTGTACCCTTCGTCGTCTCCTCACTTCGCCACCAATACTGCGTCACTACGATCCTACGGCAGCAACTGAGGTCCACACCGACGCCAGTGGTGTCGGCCTCGGTGCGGTTCTCGCGCAACGCAAGCCTGGATTCGCCGAGTATGTCGTCGCCTACGCCAGCAGAACTCTTACCAAGGCTGAATCAAACTACAGCGTCACCGAGAAGGAATGCTTGGCGATCGTTTGGGCGCTTGTCAAGTTCCGCCCATACCTTTATGGCCGTGCTTTTGATGTAGTAACGGACCACCACGCATTATGCTGGTTATCGTCGCTTAAGGACCCATCAGGTCGTCTTGCCGTTGGGCTCTTCGGCTTCAAGAATATGACATTCGCGTGGTATATCGTTCCGGCCACAAGCATGCCGATGCTGATGCACTGTCACGATCTCCCCTATCCCCGGACATCGCATCTATTTCCTCGGACAACACGTTGTCAGCGCTTGACGAGGACACCATCTCTTCTGCACAACGTAATGACCCATGGATCGCTTCGCTTCTTGACGCGTTATCTGAGGCACCGACACTTCCAACCACTCGAACCCTGCGCCGCCAGGCTCCGCACTTCAGTATTCGGGATGGCCTCTTGTACCGGCGCAACTATTCAGCAGATGGTAGGAAATGGCTACTAGTCATTCCCCGAACGCTGCGCTCTACCATCTGCGCGTCGTTTCATTCCGACCCGCAATGTGCTCACGCCAATGTTTTCAAGACCTACGAGCGCCTACGAAAAAGGTATTACTGGCGCGGAATGTTTACCTTCGTCCGCCAGTTCATTCGCGGCTGCCACGAATGTCAGCGGCGGAAAAGCCCGCCACATCCTGCAACAGGTTCATTGCAGCCACTTCCATGCCCAGACCGCCCATTCGACCGTGTAGGAATTGACCTCTACGGACCACTACCATTAACAACGGCAGGCAACCGATGGGCTATCGTGGCAGTGGATCATCTAACACGGTACGCTGAAACTGCTGCTCTCCCCACAGCTACAGCACAAGACGTCGCAACTTTCATACTCAATCGTTTTGTGCTTCGTCATGGTCCTCCTCGAGAACTTCTCAGTGACCGAGGGCGCGTTTTCCTCTCCGATGTAATACAAGCACTTCTTCAACAGTGCCATATGGTTCACCGGAAGAGTACAGCCTACCACCCACAGACGAACGGCTTGACTGAGCGGTTTAATCGTACTCTGGGGGACATGCTCGCTACGCATGTCGCTTCTGATCAAACAAACTGGGACCTCGTTCTCCCATTTGTGACATACGCGTATAACACCGCTACGCAAGTCACTACAGGGTTTTCCCCATTTTTTCTCCTGTACGGTCGCGAACCATCACACACCATCGACACTTTACTCCCATACTCGCCAGATCCCTCCGAATACAAGCCTGTCTCGGAAGCCGCTCGTTACGCAGAAGAGTGCCGCAAGCTAGCCAAGCGGCTTACTACATCCGACCAACAGCGCCAGAAGGAGATCCGTGACGAAGACCATCGTTCTGCACCGACGTTCGTTCCTGGAGCACTTGTATGGCTTCATGTACCGCCCTGCGCCCCTGGTGTATCACCCAAGCTACTCTCCAATTATCATGGTCCCTACCGCGTGGTCGAGCGTACTTCACCCGTGAACTACGCCATTGAACCCCTCACGCCACCGAGCGACCGTCGTCGGCGTGGACGTGATATCGTTCACGTAAACCGTCTGAAGCCGTACTTTGACCCGCTTGTCCCCACGTGTTAGATCGCCAGGATGGCTTCAACTTTTTCGCCGGGGGTAATTGTAGTGAATAAGAAAGACGTTGATACCATCAGGTCAGCTATCATCAGCACAAGAAGAAGGCACGAGATCGGCGATCAAGCACCGTCATCTGGGTTCGCCTGCGTTCCTTTAGAGCTACCACCCGCTTGCTCAGTCCTTCAATAAACCCCCTTTACACTTGTATGTTTTTACCCGCCTTACCGCGAGGAATTTTATGGCCCTTATACAGCCGCTAATCACAATCATTGTCCACATTCCTTGTCGCATGAACTGGCGCTCTTTGGCCATCAAATGGCCCTTGCGCTAAAAAACACCATATATCATCATCAATTGATAAACACCCTGAGAAGCCACTAGCAAATTCTCTCATAAAATGCTCCTCCAGATTATATGAATTACGGCAGTTGATTGTGTGCAAAGCGGTCCACAAATGGCAGCCTATGGCAGATTTTTCGCTGTGAGGCAATTTGTACTGCTTGGTGGATCGATGTTGCAATTTTTAAGTTCAGTAGTTGTGTGCACATTGTGGGCTTGTCAGACATGTTGACTATATTGGCATGCAAAGGGGAGAGCTTATTGGCCGATGTAACATTTGCACTTATATAAGAGCAGAAATCGAAGTTATAATGTGAATGGTTGGATTATGTGCATGTGATAACTAGCTTTTCTCGGTGTATTCGAGCACCACTTGACTGTAGATTATGTAATCAATGTGTACTCTATTGCTGTCGAAGCAAGCCACTATCGCAACCACAAGTTGTGTTACCTTGACGTGGCGCTTGTGTAAGGTCTTTTCCTCGGGAAGTTTGCAGCACTGACATGGCTCTGTAATAGAATAAATGACTACCATGCAGAATGTCTCGGTTCTATTCCAGCTTGAGGATCATTCTTATTTTTTCTTTCGTCATATTTTATTCAATTACACCATCAATGCCGGCTCTGAATTGTCAGCCTCACAAGTTTAATAATGCATTCACGTGAAGACTGCTTATCTGTTGTCGACGCCTGTTTGCTGGCTCATGCATTGAACCTTGGCTCCTACCCGCTATAGGTGATTGGCCACAGAACAGGCGGTTGATATAATGGGAAAATTTTGAATTGTATTGAGACAAAAGTTAAAGTATAAATTTGTTGTCTGGAGTATATATGAAAAAAGTATCGCTAGTCTATATAGGGTAAAGATAAAAATAAGACATCAATAACATACTTATGATAGCAAATGACAAAGTGCCGAATAGTTTGAACCCTAACACAATAGCAAACGAAGCAGCCCAGGATAGTGCACAAACCTACATGAAAGCACATAATACATTCTTACCCGGAGTCGTGCACGTGTGATATTAGAAATGCCAGATCTTTTTGTGTACTATCTTTTCCTGGGTCATTCGCTATCGTGTTGTCGTTTTGGGCATATTTTCTCTCGTTTACATAGTCCTACAATAGGTATATTTGCATGTTTTTTTAAATAAAAAACCAGTCGGAAATCAGTGCTCATATTAGTTCATAGCCTCTTCGTCTCTTTCTGGGCTGTATGCAAGTTTAATATGGAATACCAAGCTCGTACAGACACCCTCAGTCTCCTTTGATATCTTCGAGCGCATGCCATGGCGTTGAGCATTTCCTTCTCCTGTTTTCTTCGAACACTGTCCAAACTTTCAGTGGGCAGTGCAGCCATGTGGCGGCACCTAATGATGGCAGTGCTCTGCAGATCATGATGTTCAAATCAACTGAAAGGCCATGTGCGTCGTGTTTATTTGATCAGCAATTTGGATTATGGCATTATTGGTCAGAAGAAGAGCAAGTGATTTTTAGCTGTGTTTAATAATTAGTAATAATTACCAGGCTGTGTGCTGCACTATTATATTTGGCTCACATGTTCTCAGGAGCCTCGATTACCAATTCATAGGATCTTCTGACAATGTTTAAGTGTTGCAGTGCCTACCATGCAGTTGCTGTTCATATACAGCACGATGAGAATTGTAAGAGCTTGGATGGCACACCCTTGCCATTATGTAGCTTTGGTTTGGGTGTGACAAGTTGATCACCTACTTCACTCAGCTACTTTGCAATCGGTTCCATGCTGTATAGAAATAATAATTAACATTGCTTTTGTGTGCTCTCGATGGCATTGCAGGTTCCTTGACTTTCGTGTCCCTGGAGCAGTCTGCTACATTGGCGTCTGTGCAAGATCGACTGCATCCCTGCCACAAGAAAGAGGGTCTCTTTTCCTGTGTCCACTGCAATGCATCGTTTGTGATGAAAGGACACCTCGTGAAGCACATGCTCATTCACACAGGAGAGGGCCCTTTCCCCTGTGGCCACTGCAATGCATCCTTTTCCCAGAAAGACCACCTTGTAAGCCATATGTGTGTACACACTGGAGCGCGCCCCTTTTCCTGTCTCCATTGCAATGCGTCCTTTTCAATGAAGGCCCACCTTGTTATGCATATGCGCACTCACACAGGTGAGCGTTCCTTCTCTTGTGTCCACTGCAATGCATCATTTCTAATGAAAGGCCAGCTTGTTAAGCACATGGCCATTCATCCGGGAGTGCGCCCTTTCAACTGTATCCACTGCAATGCATCTTTTTCCCAGAAATACCACCTTGTAAAACACATGCGCATGCACTCTGGAGAGTCTTTTTCCTGCATTCACTGCAATGCATCCTTTTCAATGAAAAGCAACCTTTCGATACACATGCGCACTCACACAGGAGAGCGTCCCTTCTCCTGTGTCCTCTGCAACGCATCCTTTTCTATGAAAAGCAACCTTGTGATACACATGCGGACTCACACAGGAGAGCGTCCCTTCTCCTGTGCCTACTGCAGTGCATCGTTTGGTTCAGAAAGGCAGCTTGTGGAACACTCTCGCATGCACACTAGAGAACGTCCCTTCTCCTGTTCTCACTGTGATGCATCTTTTTCACAAAAACGCCCCCTCACAGATCATATGTCTCTTCGTCATGCAAATACGATGCCCTAAATGTGAGGTGCCAAAAGGGTTCTGTTAAAAAAGTGTAAGGTGGGGCATGGAGTGTGGATTTGGTTAATTAGAATGACAGTGAAGGTGTAGTATTGGGTTAGAAAGTATGCTTACTTTGGCAACTCATGAGTGTGAATGAAGTGATTTTAGGCCAGAATCATTTGTGCTAACACAGTATTCCACAAATGTGCGTTTTTTTCTCAGTCATAAGCACTACTAGAGTTGTGTTTTAATGCTATTGTCCACCAGATCTTGGTGGTGACTATCTGTTGGAAAAAATTATGAGCAGCCACAGCCACTGGGAAGTGTAACCTACATCTACAAAACAGAAAGCAGGCCCTCTCAACACTTCACCATAGCTGTGCTTATTACAGGTCAATGTCAGTACAGTGAAGCAAGGTGAGCAGGTGCAATACACAAGTGGCCTGTCATTCTTTATGCTGCCTTTATAAATGTTCATTACTACAATTAAATAAAAGGTGAAGATACCTTCCGCAGGTGAAAAGAGAAAACAAAAGCAAGTCTTATTCCGGAGAATGTTGAATAAAATATTGTTACGGGGTCGTGATGGGGTGAACGAAGGGAGGAGACTCCAGGTTGAAGAAGAAACTGTTTATTCGGGCCGAAATTGTGGACACACAAAAGGAAAGTAAGACACCGACACTGATAGCGGCAAACAGAGCATTGGCCGCCGATCAACTGACAAGCGACGAATCGTGTCGGCATTTATACCCTTGTCATCGAATATTTTAGCGTTATAGCTAGCGGCGACATAGGTTCCCAAATAATCTGTGACGTTCCTGATGTGGGCGTAATCTTAACAAAACGATCTACTAAAACCTCGAAACTTCTCGAGCATCGTAGGCGCTGCTTTGTGCTGAACGTAGTGTAACGGGGTGATAACAAAACTTGAGGAAAGGAACATGGCATTGCTCCCCTTAGGAAAAGTCATTGTCCCAATGCTTTAACAAAAAAAAAAACGAAGGTACAATAATAAAGGTAATAAACAGTAATAGCAACAACAACAAAATGCAGTCCTCAGGTTCAGGCATGAAATGACTTGAGGCGCACGACATGGGCGACTTCAGGTCGAGCACGGCGCGATTGAGAGTTTGTAATGCCGTCGGGAACGACCTCGCAGTCGAGGGGGCTGAGATTTCGAACTACTCTGTGCGGTCCGAAGTACCGTTGCAGAAGTTTTTCACTGAGCCCACGTCGGCGAATCGGCGTCCATACCAAGACACGATCTCCGAGCTGGTACTCAATGAAGCTTCGTTGAAGGTTGTAATGGCGGTTGTTGGTCGCCTGCTGGTTCTTGATGCGTAGGTGGGAAAGTTGACAAGTTTCTTTCGCGCCCTGAAGGTAAGTGGTGACGTCGAGGTTCTCTTTGCCAGCGACGTTTGGAAGCATAGCGTCGAGGGTCGTTGCCGGGCTCCTTTCATAGACCAACTTGTATTGCGTCATCTGCATCGTTTCTTGGACAGCCGTATTCTACGTGAAGGTCATGTACAGATGGATGGCGTCCCACGTCTTGTGTTCAACGTCGACGTACATAGGCAGGGTGTCTACGATTGTCTTGTTTAGCCACTTGGTGACACTATTTCTTTGTGGGTGGTAGGCGGTGGTGTGGCGATGGCTTGTGCGGGTATGTTTCAAGATCGCTTGCATCAAATCAGCAGTAAAGGCCGTACCTCTATCGGTGATGACAACCTCTGGGGCACCATGACGAAGGACGATGCTCTCAACGAAGAACTTGGCTATCTCTTCGGCGCTACCTTTGGGTAGGGCCTTTGTTTCGGGGTAGCAGGTGAGGTAGTGAGTAGCTACGACAATCCATTTGTTTCCCGAATTCGGCTTCGAAAATGGCCCTAGTAGGTCCATCCTGATTTATTGGAATGGTCGACGAGGCGGTTCAATCGGCTGAAGAAAGCCTGCTGGCCTTGTTGGCCGTGTTTTGCGTCAGTGACAGTCTTGGCATGTCCTCACGTAACAAGCGACGTCAGCGTTAAGGCGCAGCCAGTAGTACCTTTCCCTTTCTTCTATCCTTGCGAGCGTGCGCGAAATACCAAGGTGTCCTGCCGTTAGATCATCCTGCAGGGCCTGGAGGAGTTCTGGTCGCAGAGCTGAAGGCACCACAAGAAGGTGCTTGGCTCAAAGCAACGAAAAGTTCTTCTTTTGCAGAAGGCCGTTTTGCAGTGAAAATGACCTAAGTGCCTGTTTGAATACCTTCAGAACAACGGAGGTTCTGCCCTCAAGGTATTCGATTAGGCCCCCAAGTTCCGTGTCAGCCTGCTGGCGTTCAGCGAAGTTGTCGGCAGTTATCGTTCCCAAGAAGCAGTCGTCATTCAGGTCTTCAGGCAACAGTGGGTTGACGGGGCTCACGACAGGCAGTCGGCATCGGAGTGTTTTCTGCCGTACTTGTAATTGACGGCAATGTCGTATTCTTGAAGTCTCGGGCTCAATCGCACTAGACGACCTGAAGGGTCCTTCAAAATAGCTAGCCAACACAAGGCGTGGTGGTCGCTCACAACTTTGAAAGGCCTGCCGGAGAGGCAAGGATGAAACTTTGACGTCGCCCAGATGATGGCAAGGTACTCCTTTTTTGTTGTGGAATAATTGCTTTCAGCCTTGGATAGTGAGCGGCTAGTGTAACTAATGACCCTTTCCAGTTCGTCAGTTTTGTGCGCAAAGATGGCGCCAAGTCCTACGCTGCTTCCTTCAGTGTGCTCCTCTATTTAGGCCTTTTCATCGAAATGGGCGAGTAATGGAGGTGTCGTAAGCATTGTTTTGATTCCCCAAATGCTTCCTCCTATTAGGTTTCCCACTTGAACTCGGCGTGAGTCCTCGTAAGGTTAGTGAGTGGCTCGGCGATTCGGGCAAAATTTTTGATGAAGCACCTGTAATAGGTGCACAGGCCTAGAAATCGACGCACAGCCTTTGCGTTTGCGGGCAGCAGAAATGCAGCGATGGTGGCTGTCTTCTGCGCATTGGGTCTTACTCCGGACTTCCTTATTACGTGGCCCAAGAACAAAAGTTCCTCGTAAGCAAAGCGGCATTTCTCTGGTTCCAGGGTGAGTCCAGAAGTCTTGATGGCTTGAAGTACAGTTTTAAAGGAGTGCTGACATCAAATTTTAAGATCTAGATGTGCCCATCATTTGATCGTTTTGTATGCATAGGTCTTCTTGGCCAAATATGAACGGCATACGTCACGTGGAAATTATTTTAATTCGATGACAAACAGCGTAGAAAAGTTAAGGAGAAAAAACGAAAAATAGACTGTCCTGCAACATCGACACTAGTGCTACGTGTTCGGTGTGATACATTCCACAAATACCATCCTGAGTGACGATGCCTTAGTAGCGATGACGTGTACGATCCGAGTGTTCTCATCGTGGCGTTGACTTGTGCCAAAGTGCAGAAACGCACTCGCTCGTTCACGGCCAGGCTAGCGTGCGCAGGTGCAGTCTAGCGCGGCCGTGGCTCGTCGAGTCTGATCGTCATCGCACCCGTGTGAATGATTTCGTGAAATCGTCAACATAAAAACTACCTTTAAAAAAATGCCGAAAGAAAAGAGCATGCTTAAACGTTTGCTTGTCGATCAGCGTGTCCGGGAATCGTTGTGAGTTGCAGTCGTCTAGTTCGAAGCACGAAAAAGCGCAATGAGGTTGTCTTTTCATAGCACTTATGTGTTACACATCAACACGGCCACAAGCTATCAAAAGTGGAAGAGCGTGTAGTCAGATATCATCGCTAACAAGTAACACGCAGGTATAGTTGAATTTTAGTTCATATGTAGACTTTGCGTCCACGTAAAAGTGGTAATACCATGTTAACCACGAGAGGCTAGATAGATGGGGCCTTCTGAAAGTGCAAAAAAGAACCTGACAAGCAGGAAAAGTATTCTATTTCTCCGCTGATGCTCATTTACGATAGCTATATTGCATTGACCCCTCTGAGTATACGTGAATGCTTTGCACGTGAAAACACACCAAAATAGCTAACTGAGACACATGAGCGAACAAGGCTGAAGCGTGCATACTCGGGCACCTCTGCAGTGCTGCTTGGAACAGCGTCCATTTCGAAATCACTGTTCTGCAAAAGGTCGATCCAAGCAAAAGTAATTCGCGAATTGCGGGAATTCCAAGCTCCAGACTATTGTATTGAACCCGAGTCGACACTTTGTACGGCGACGACAGCAATGCAGGTGACAAGGCATGACTGAATGTGTCTGCCTAGCAGACGAAATGTTTTCGAAGCAGCTGAGCATGACGTCACTTTTTTCTGTGGAGAAGTGGTCAGCTGTGGTGTGATCTGGAGGTGACCGCGAGGTAGCGCCACTGCTGCTGTTCCCAGCGCTAAAAATGGCGGGATTGCCGGCTGTTTTTGAATAGTGCTAGATCCCAGTAATATAAATCAATAAAAGAGATAGTTATTCATCCCTCAGTTGCGTTTTAGGTCGCGAATTATTGCTACGAGGTCTATAGCTACTCGCTGATGCAAAAATCTTGGCATGAGTAAATTTGATGTCAATGCTCCTTTAAAGTGCCGAAGATGCTCGCCGAAGCTTGTGGAAAACAAAACGACATCGCCTAAGTAAACGAGACAAGTCTGCCACTTCAATCCTGCCAGCACCGTGCCCATAACGCGTTGAAAAGTCACAGGTGTCGAGTAAAGACCGAAGGGCATAACCTTGAACTCGAAAAGGGCATTTGGTGTTATAAATGCTGTTTTTCTTGGTCTCTCTCATCGGCTTCGATTTGCCAGTAGCCAGTTTTGAGGTTCATCGACAAAAAGTACTTCGTGTTGTGGAGTCGATTCAAGGCGTCATCTATCCATGGGAGAGGATAAACATCTTTTTTGTGATTTTGTTAATGTGGTGATAATCGACGCAGAAACGTAGGGTTTCGTGCTTCTTCTTCACTAACACCACGGGTGTCGCCCACGAACCCTCCGACGGTTGGTTGGATGATGTCGTTGCATTTTGTCGTCTTGTCTTTAAACGGCCTCGAGTTCTCACATCGGAACTCTGTAGGGGCTCTGCCGTAGTGGTCTGGCGTTTTTCTCTGTTATTATGTGATGTTTCGCGACTGCGGTCTGGCGAACTTTCGACGACAACGAAAAGCAGTCCTTGTATTGCAGGAGCCGGGCCTTGAGCTGTTCTTGCTTATGCTTCGGAAGGCTCGGATTGACGTTGAAAGCTGGGTGAGGAGCTTCGTTCCATGGAGTAGGTGCTGTAGAATCGGCGAGGGCGAAAGCATTGGTGGCTTCTATAATTTCGTGAATGTAGCCGACCGTTGTACCTTTGTTCACGTGTTTGTACTCTTTGCCGAAATTCATGACCTGAACTGTTGCTTTTTTTTCCCGTAGCTCAGCGATTACTCTTGCTACACAAATATTGCAGTTGAGCAATAGGTGCTGATTGCCTTCAATGACGCCTTCAAAGTCTTCTGGTTTTGGGGTGCCGGCGGAAATGATGACGCTTGAGCGAGGAGGGATGGTGACTTTTTTCAGCACATTCAGAGCACGACTTCGTGATGGCGTGCGTGGCGGTAGTGCTTTTTCTGTGAATAGTGTTATCGACTTTGCTCACAGGTCGATGACCGCACCGTGGAGGTTCAGGAAGTCCATTCCAAGAATAACTTCTCTCGAACAATGCTGCAGTACGACGAAGCTTGCGGATAAATGTGGCTCTGGCTGTGAAATGTGGCTCTGGCTGCGCACATTCCTGTTGCGCAGCCATAGCCGCATGTCGGGGTCAGCGTGGCGGAAGAGGAAGGTCTTTTCTTCTATGAAAATAGTGACATTTTCATTGGGCACCTGCACCCGGGTCTCCAGCCATGCAGCGTCCTTCTTTTTGTGAGCAACGCTTGTGAATGTTTGCAGGAATAAGCTTCAGAAAAGATCCTAGGTTTGAAGGGCAGACTCCCGATTCTCGAACCAGGTCCTTGCCGCGTCTTCCAGATTAAAAGTAGACACGTCGGAGCTTCTCTCTGCGTCCCACTGGTTGAAGGCGGCCACTCAGTCGTAGGTCTCTAGCCAGGTCTTCGGGACTTCGAACGATGACCCATGGAAAATAGGTGGTTCCCTTGGCTGCTGCATCAGGATCGTGTGCTGTGGCGCAGCAGTTGTCATCGTTGCCGCAGTCGAGGTCATGGCCTTGGTTTTTTGAGCGTTGTCTTGCAGAGGCCTGTATTCCGGAGGCAAACCCTGCTGCCTGCGGCTTGTTCGGTGCTCGTGGCCAGTGTCGGTGTCTTCGCTATGTGGGCTGGGTTCACGGCTTGACAGGGGTGTCCGGTACATGAACGAAGCAGCACCTCCACCAGATGTCACGGAGTCGTGACGTGAACGAAGGGTGCAGACTCCAGGTCAAAGAAGAAACTGTTTATTTGGGCCGAACTTGTGGCCACGCAAAAAGAAAGTAAGACACTGGCTCTGATTGCGGCGAACAGAGCGTCGGCTGTCGATCAACTGACAAGCGGCGAATCGTGTCAACATTTAAACCCTTGCCATCGAATATTCTAGCATTATTGCTAGCGGCGACGTAGGTGGCCGAATAATCTGTGACGTTCCTAAAGAGGGGGTAATCTTAACAAAACGATCTACAAAAGCCTCAAAGCTTCTCAAACACCGTAGGTGCAGTTTGTGCTGAATGTAGTGTAACGGGGTGATAACAAAACTTGAGGAAAGGAACGTGGCAATATGATAGTGAAGACATTTAGGCTATTTTGTGATGAAGGTGTTCGCACATTGGTGGTATTCGCAACACTAGTGGCGTAGCTCACATTTACTCATCACAATTTTCATAGTGCTGTTAAAGCGATAGGCAAGTGCACCTCTGTTGCTGTGCAAAGGGGAGGTGCTAGGTGGCTATACCAGCATGTGCACCATTTTGACTGTGTATGGATGCTCCATGTGACGATGATTGGAGAAGCTGGGCATTAATGGCTGTCCAACTTATCCTCAAGATAATCATCGGGAAGGGAGAAAGAAATGCAATAATATAAGGGTGTTCCATGTGAACATTGTATGTCCATTGAATGTGAACTTTGTATAAATGACAGTCGTGCAGATTGCTATAGTTTTTTTTCCTCTTGAAAAACTTTTGAAGGGGGGTCTTTGTGATGGTGCGTGCGAGTGGTGTGAGGACTGTAAATAAAATGGCTACGAAGATGACATGCGGCACCTGTGGTACGCGAGAGCTCGAAAGACATGTTCGTCCATTGAGCACTCCCCACGAGAACAAATGAAGAAACTGAGAGGCGGGACTGGGTGAGGAAGACATGTGAGAAGAAGGATACTCTGTCTATGGCACAAAAGTAGTGGCATACTGAGTTACTGACTCAAGGTCACTGCAGGCTTTCACCTGGATGCACATTCCTTGTCAAGATTCTCTTCATAGCCTGGTATTAGAGCTACAACATGCAACCCAGGTGAAACCGGTGTGTCCAGGAAGGTGAAGGAGCTACATGTGAACTTTGGCTGGTGAACACCCGTAGGGCATTTGGCCATTGCCCTCCATCGCATTCAGTGGCTACTGTAACCACCCTTGCAGTACGTTGTGCACCGGTGTCACCCACACATGAGCCTCTGTACCTTTACATACAAAAGACTGCGATAGCATTCCGGCTCGAGTTGCACTTTATAGCTATGTGTAGACTTGTTTCCTCTATGTTGTGTGTACTGCCTTCCCTCGTGCTATTTTTTTTGTGTGCTGTAAATATATAATTTGTATTTTTGTAAATAAACGACCTCATTTCTTTTTATGACTATGATGTCATTGCTCTTTCTTTCACTAATGTGATGAGTCATAGTTTGCGACACTCGTATGATTTTCACCGGTGTGCTCAGTTCTTTTTAGCCGCCCCGCCGCGGTGGTCTAGTGGCTAAGGTACTCGGCTGCTGACCCGCAGGTCGCGGGATCGGATCTCGTCTGCGGCGGCTGCATTTTCGATGGAGGCGGAAATGTCGTAGGCCTGTGTGCTCAGACTTGGGTGCACGTTAAAGAACCCCAGGTGGTCGAAATTTCCGGAGCCCTCCTCTACGGCGTCTCTCATAATCATATGGTGGTTTTGGGACGTTAAACCCCAATAATCAATCAGTTCTTTCCAGCCGAAAAATGCAGGTGTGCGTGACAAGTCACACAATTTTCAGCCTTACATATAATTTTGTTTGTTATGTCAATGGGAACTCAACCTCGTAAACTCAACACTGGGTCCAGCAGTGTGTCTGTCTTCCTCTCCTGAGAGTCCTCTGCAGGTTCTATCCAACTGCTTAGCAGGCATGTAAGGTCATTACAGTAAGCCGCACATAAACCTTTATTCTCTTTATTTGGAGCATAGCGAAGTGGCTATGAGCATGGTCATCGGCAGGATCTTCTTTTGTGGGGGAGGGGGTAGGTGGTAACCACTGTTGCTTCGTGGATGGTAAGAGCACTGCTTGAGTGAAGGTGTGAGCTGGTGTGGCTTGAGGAGAGCTATGCCCCCTTTGCAACCCCCTGCTGACACCTGTGGGTATGTGCCCTGTATGTGATCAAACACCGCTGTTCACCTCCAGTTCACATAATACAAAAATAGCGGGCATGTGTAAAGCAGCCCCCAGATAGCACAAGGAAGTGGGCAGCAAGAGACAGTCACGTCAGGAGGAGTGATGCAAGTGATTACAGCTTTTAGCCCAGGAGACCATCCAGAAGGTAATGTTTTTTTTTTTATTCTGGGAAATAAAGAGACAGAAAGAAAGAGAGAAAAGACTAGAAAACGAACCGAGAGGGCAAAGTTTAGCAACACATCGGAAAAGGAAGAGTATAATAGCATTGTATTGTGGAGACGAGGGGAGGAAGCTGGCTAGCTGGAGGTTGGATGCATGCAGGTGTTGAAGCGGAGACGAGCAGCGACACCTAGGACAGAGTCTGGCACGGGAGAGGCACTATGCAGCCGTGCCAAGCCAATGCAAGCGTTGGTTGCGTGACTTTAGTGATAATGTTCTCAACCTTCGCACCGTTATGTCAGTGACCCTCACTGGTGTTCAGTCGCTGCAAGCCAAGGATAACTTCGATGTCCCAGCTGACCTATTTGTCAGCCACGTCATTCATGCAGGGGTTCCTTTCCATGCCATTTTTGATATATACCTACTAAATGAGACGCGAGAGTTACAAGAGCTTATTTTTGTTTTATTGCAATTTATATGGACAGTCTCGGCTGCTTTTTGCCGTCATGCACAGTATATATATATATATATATATATATATATATATATATATATATATATATATATATATATATATATATATATATACACACATACATATATGAAAACTGAAGAAAGAAAAAAAACGCCCGCGCTCGGCACCCAGCTCGTGATGCGCCAATGCGCCCTTATCTAGCTCCCACACGTACTTTGCCCCGCGGATGGGAGCGGGAGGTCAGGCGCTTATTTTTCAGTGGGGAGAATCGTGTGCCTTGACATTTCACCGGAACAATTGCGTTAGTTCTAGGCCACAAAGGTCAGTTCGCTCTCTGAGCAGGCCCCGTTTGTGAAAACAGTGCGCTTTTCAAACAGAGCGAAGTAACCTCTGGGACGCTCTTTAGTTCGCACTCACATCTGTACCTGTGATTATGTTTCGTGCATCATTTTTATTTAAACAGTGCATTAAGCGTTGAGCTGTAAACATTCTTTGTTAGCTCTCGTCTCGTGTGTGTTGTTTTTGTGCTTTATTTGTGCGTGAGCAGCACGCTGCACGTTTTGATCTGCTTGCCGTTCTCAGCGTTACATTTTAGGCTGTTGCTATCGCATTCATTGCTTCGCTCTTGTGGGGAAACTGTGACTTCTTTCGTACCACGACCGCGTCCCGTCTCATATGAGCCTAATAAGTTTAGGCTTAATGGGAAAACAGTAGTCAGGTGTGCAGAGGTGCGTTTTTGTGTAATAAGTTGAACGCATGGAATAAAAAAAAGATATGTAGAGCGCAAAAACGTTAGCACTGGCTAGCCATTTATTACGTACATATCTACTATAACTTTCTTGGTTATCTTTCTTCATCTTATTCCACTTTGTAGCACATTTACTCATCAAGCAGCAGCATAAGTGTGGACCCTGCGGTGACAATTAAGCTAGAAGGAAATAGATGAAATCCCAGTTTCACAATACAGAAACCCGTTCTCTCTGTGGCGAGTCTTAAAGGGACGAAGTGTAGTGACATAGACTTCGTGGGGGGCAGGCCTGGAGTGCAGCAGGAAGTGGCGAAGGGAGGGGGAAATATCGAGGGGGGGGGGTCCTTATGAGATGACACGTCACCACCCCGCTATGGAGGGGGCACCACTAATCATCATCATCATAAGGAGCACCTGCACCAGTGAAGGCCTTTTACATTGTGTCGGCTAACTACGGGGTGTCTCTAAATAAGATGTCCCGCAAATCTATGAACAGTGAACTTCTGCGGTTTGACTCATGCAGTAAAAATTTCTTTGAATATGTGTTTTAATGGTAGCATTTTTCCAAAAATATCGCATGACTGCATCATCAGCACAAAAAAAAAAGTCAATTTGATATTTTTTTTAATAGGCAGTTCGGAAGTAAAAATTTGTTACATAAATGTGACCAGTAAAACATTTAAAAGCAAGGGGTGTTCAAGAAATACTCCTACTTGTTGTGCGAAGGAGCCAAGTTTTGCTGGCCATTTCAGCAAATAAAATGTATCTTGAAATATTCTATTTACTACGAAACTTCTGGACTGAATATGCAATTGCATCGCAATTTCAGCAATTGTCGATGCAACTGTTACAAAAGGCTTACATGAAAAAGTAAAGAGTGAACATACAACCACTCATGACGTATCTGCTCGGTCATTTCATCGTACCCTGCCGTTTTTCTTTTTTTCCCTAACACGACCACTCACAAAATCATTCACAAAGAAAGAGAAGGAAACAATGAATATGTCTTATCAATGCAAAGTCGTGCATAATATCAACAGAGAATTTCAGCCTTTCGTGGAGATATTCAACTAAGAATTCCTACGAATATGTCAATGCTGCGAAAAGAGATGTAAATTACATATTGTGTACGTATAAATAGTTGAATTTGAAGCCTACAACAGAGAACTGGGGATAGAAATCCAAGAACATTTTACACTTCAGTCTTCGCAGTGGTTGTATACATTCTGAGAATACAAAAATAAGGGAATTATTAGTTTCTTGTGTACCTGTAATTCTGTATACATAAGAAAACTGTTAAAGTTTTTGGATATACCAGTCATCATATAGAAATAAATATAAAAACAGATACACATGGCTGAGAAAATAGCAAACTTTGACAACAGATGACATTTTAGAGCGAATTCGTAAAAATGGTAGTCTTAGATTTCAACATGAAACGTATTTTCTCCAACTACTGTTAGATGAATGAACTCGTTGGCCACAAGATTCAGATACACTTGTCTAACCTGCTCTTTGTGGCAATGGAACAAGGCGGTATGGTTAAGTCTGGCCTGTCCCATTGTTGAGCACAGGTAGGCTTTACATCTCTGGAGACACAAGAAAGATCTTTCTAATAAACAGGAAGTCACAGGAATCGTCATGGAGATTTGTAGAAGCTTGACAACTTCTGTAAGGAGCACCCTCAAGCATTCACTTGCTTTTGTTGAGAAAAAGTCGACCACATCTTGAAATGTGACAATACTCGATGCACGTTGCTTTGCTATGTCAAGTAACATATTGCGGTGAAGCTGGAGATGCACAGCATTGAGCTCTCCTTTGTAGCACTCGCATAGATACGTGCAGTCAGCATCGCCTGTTATGAACTGCTCGACTTGCTTCATGCGATACCACATTTCTGACAAAGACCGGGTGCGCAGTGATGCATGCACCATGTTAATAACTAGATAAAACCGCTGCTGGTGCAGAGCTTCGGGGAAATTAATGTAATGTGCGTGCTACCCTTATCATACCGACGTGGTGCCTGCATTGGTCTTTTAGAAACTCTTCGGGTCCCGATGTCTATTTCCACGCTTTATCAGACACATCCGCCCAAAAACTGGAAAAGTAATCGCGTAGTTGACCGATGCTCTCTTCAACAGCCTTAACTAAATGCTGTGCGTGGGTGAACTGTGGGCTTTTCTTTTGGAGAGCGAAATTGACACTTTCCAACCTCTTAAAGACAAGAAGCATGAGCCTCAGTAGAAAATAGGTGTCTAACTTTAGAAGCGTTTTTGCATAACCGCTTGCTTTGGCACCTGTGTCATTTTTCTCTTCCAAAGAAAGAGTAAAAAGGAATCTGGTTATTTTGGAGTAGTTAGCGGAGACTGATCGGAGAGAGCACACCTTTAACATCCACCCAGTTTTGCAAAACTGTTTGAGTGCAGGATTTTCCTCTTTCTGAAACTGCTAGAACCAGCTGATACGCTTTGGGGAAGTTCTAACAAAAGTTACGAGGTCTGGAAACAAGCCAAGAAAATCCCGACAGGCATCAAATTTCGTGCACAAATCTTGCAAAGACAGATTCAGTGTATGCGCAAGGTAGTGCACACACAAAGCTCTATGTTCTATCTCTTGAACAAGGGCCTGAAGCCCACCGTTCTTGCCAGAAATATTTGCAGCCCCATCATAACACTGCCCACAGCAGCTCTCAATCCGAAGATTGAATCGACAAAGCACATATTTCAAAATAGAAAATAAAGAGTACGGGCTGTGGTGTCCGCAGTTGCATAAAATCTAAAGAATACCTTTTTCACTTTCAAGTTTTTCTTAGCATACCGAAAGCAGAAAGGTACTTGCTCT